TTCATCTGCATTTTTTTTTAACAACTCATACCCCTGCAAAAAAAACAGAAATTCTTTTCTAAAAAAAATACAGGTAAACTAAGGGACCATATATCTCATGGTTAAAAATGACAAAAAAAAGTTTCTGCTTTTCTTTATATATATATATTTTTAATTTTTTTGAAATCCAATTAAGTTTGTGATTTTTAAAAAATCCTAAAAAAATCTGATTCAAAACAAAAAAAAAATGGGGTTGTAGGGCTTAAAATTCCCTACAACCCCATATATATATACAGGGTTGCCGGCGTTCAGGACGGGCCGAACGCCCGAACCCGAACACCCGAACGTACGGGACCCCTTTGGAAGGCGTTCGGCCGTTCGGGCCGAACGCAGACCAAAAAAAAAACAAAAAACAAAAAACACGTTTTCAAAAAATTCCTAAAAAAAAAAAGTTATGGAGGAAAAAAAAACTTAACATCATTTGCCTGGGCACTACATCTAAATTCTTTACCAAATTTGAATTAAAAATAAAAATAAATAAATAAACACTATGATAAAAATAAGAAAAAATAAAGAGAAAACTACGGCGCAGTCAGGGTTACAGTTTGTAATTGCATTTGAAACTGCGTTTTCGCAGTTTAGTCAGGGCTTGAGTTTCAATTGCAGTTGAAATTGGTTTTAGCAGCTTGAAACTCGGGCTCGTTTTTTTTAGCAGTTCAGTCAGGCACATGGCCGTGTCTTTCTTTCCTTTTTTTTTTTTTTTTTTTTTTTTTTTTCGCTCTTCCATTTTTTCCCTATCTCGTTCTGCGGCTGGGAAAAAAAAAAAAAAACACAGCTCGATGGTTGGGCCACTACCGAGATGTCTCGGCCACACCCCAGACTGGCCACGGCCGAGATGTCTCGCCCACACCCCAGATTGGCCAGGGCCGAGATGTCTCAGCCACAACTGAGATTCGCCGGCACTTCCCTTCCCAGACAAACGCGAAGTCTCAGTACCCTACTCTGAAGAAGTGAGGGGCTCGGGGTAGGGACTTCGAATCCACCTACGTCGGGAAGGCCCTCAGGTCACCAGTGCTTTGAGGAATGTATCTGGCCAGGAAGTGAGGAACATGAAATAAGTCGTTTTCCTCTTTTGTTTCTCGTTGTCAGGTCCTTGTAGCGCTCTGCCAGCAAGGCAGGGCGGATTCCACGCGAGGCAGCTAACTGCCTCGCTTCAGCAAGTACTGTAGCATCCTGTATCAGACCGCAATCACAGCATAAGGGATGTTTTTTTTTTTTTTCTCTCTTTATCTGTTGTTCGTGGATAGACGAGGGCCCCGAGTGAACTGCTACCTAAAGGCAGCCCGAGTTTCAAGTGCAATTGAAACTCGGGCCCAGACTAAAATGCTAAAACGCAGTTTCGAATGCAATTACAAACTGTTTTTGTGACTGTGCCGAAGTTACCCCAAAAATAAAAAGAGAATTAAAATGAGTGAGTGTGCCAACACCTTTTCGACACCGCCATCTTTGCCGATTTTTTGATTATTTTTTGGCATTGGCAAATGCCCTGAAATTTTATAGATATGTATTTTACATCATCAATAACGCATTAAAAAAAAATCAAAAAATAATAATTTTTTTTAGGCCCCGAAATAAAGTAAAAACAAAAAGTTAAAAGTGAAAAAAAAAAATTAGTGAGTGGGCGAGATCGTTTTGACACCCCCATCTTTGACGATTTTTAATGTTTTCTTGGCCTAGCAGAATGGCTTCAAAATTCATAGGCGTGTAGGTCACATCATAGAGAACTCACAAAAAAACTTAAAAAAAAAAAACTTATTTTTAGGCCCTGAAAAAAAGTTTGGTGGGGGCCGAACCTAGAGGTGTTCGGCCCCCGAACGGGACCCCGAACGCCCGAATGTTCGGGGGCCAGCCCAGGGGCCCCCGAACGTTCGGTCAGGTAACCCTGTATATATATATATTTTACCTATTATTTAATTCAGGAAAATTCTGGTAAAATCGGGTCCGCGGTGCGGACCAAGACGACCGAGGACGTGACAGCATATGAGGCCGCCACCTGAGATTGGGCCCGCGGACGCGTCCGCGGGTGTTTCATAGGCGCAAGGAGCTTCGCTGCCGCGACGTATGTTCCAGCAGAGTCAGTACAAATAGCATTAACAACCATTTCGTCAAAACGGACATATTATATTTTTTGAACGAAATCAAAACTGACTTTTTTTGCCAAAATCCGGTCGGAATTTTTTGCTCATGGGGGTCCGGTGTTCCCAAAACGCCGGACCCCTCTGGTCTATGGTTGAGACCAGATACAAAAATAAAAATAAAAATAAAGAAAGTATCTGGTCTCAACCATAGACCAGGGGGGTCCGGCGTTTTGGGAACGCCGGACCCCCAGGAGCAAAAACTTCCGATCGGATTTTGGCAAAAAAAGTCAGTTTTGATTTCGTTCAAAAAATATAATATGTCCTTTTTGACGAAATGGCTGTTCATTGACATTTTCGACGCCGAAGTCATCGAATACCTTCTTCCACCGCCTCACAACCACACTCGCCGTGTCCTGCTCAGCCTCGTCCCTCTGCACTGTCCTCCACAAGTACACCCCTGAAAATCCGGTTGCCAAGAAGTTGACTATCTGATCAGTAGTGATGGATTTGCGACCGTCCATGAGGATGGTTGCTCCTAGTGCCACCACATCTCTCCTGAGCGTCGCCAATATCTCCGCAACGTCCTTGTGCTGCTGGACAATACCATTGCCACAGATGCGGCAATGGTTGGGCAGAGACGGATGCACCCAAGGGGGACATGTGGTAAGGTGCCTTCTGAACGTGTTGTACTCTGGCCTCCTCGACGCGTGGAACGGGATGCCGCAGCCGAGTCTGGTACATGAATTTTTTCCCCGTTTTTCACATGTAGAAAAAAAAACTAAAATTATGGGCGTGTAGGGATGAAAACGCCCTACACGCCCATATATATTTTTTGGGTGTCGGACCTTCCGCGCGGCGTAGAAAAAAAAAACGCAACAAAAAAAAAAAAAAAAAAAAAACTTCAAACGTGCGAGGTGAAACCTTTTTTCCG